TAAGCCAAGTTACAACCAACCTCACACTTTGACCTTTTAAAATTTACTTTTAAAAATAGAGGTTATCTTTTATGCTGCAAATTATGCCTTCATCTCTTACAATCCCATAAGTCAGATATCACAGTCCCACTTCAATTATGCTAAACTCTTATGTTAATTTTAAATCATGTAACTTAATTCCTGGCAAAGCAGACTGGTGATTTTCAAAATGTGGTTAATGAGGCAAAGTACAATCTAGATTCTGCTACCGAGATCATCTGAATCCCTTAGGTCACTGAAGATGACTATGGAGAGGCTCTTCTTTACAAAAGTCTGGGTTACGTTTTCAAAAAATGAATTTTTAAGTGCAGTTAGGGGCTATGAAATTTGAAGTTGAGCATACAAAGAAGTTAAATTGCTTTCACTAGAGCCATAGAACAACAGCGCAGCTAAACCAATTATGCTCCTGTGCACATACATGCTTTAAAGGCCTTAAGTAGTGTCCTCCCCTTTTAAATCACAAATGTAAACTGTACCAGATTTTCAAATGACAATCCAGGGACCTGATGTCTATGTCTACAGATGCATGCAAATCAATGTCATTTTCCCTCTCATTTGCAGAAGCCAAGCATTTGCTAATAACTTCTTTCACCCCCCTCGATTCAAACAACAGCATTATCTAAGACCAGTTAGTAGATGAAATCTCATGAGACTGTACAGCTTTTTCATTACAATTACATCTCCCCACCCCTAAATCTCTGTCATTGGCTGATGAGGTAGGCTGAAAATTTGTTACTAAAGCAAGCCCAAGGTGAAGCTTAAGTTCATAGAATCATAGAATCATAGAATGGTTAGGGTTGGAAGGGACCTCAAAGATCATCTAGTTCCAACCCCCCTGCCATGGGCAGGGACACCCTCCACTACACCAGGTTGCTCAAAGCCTCATCCAACGTGGCCTTGAACACTTCCAGGGATGGGGCAAGTTCTTCAGAGACTTTGTCATTTACTACTATTTATTACTCTGAATTAAAGAACTCATACAAAACTCATATATAAATTGGCCTCCATTCTTCAATAGTATGTTAAGCTTTTTTCCTCTCATACGTTTTTTGGAAAATATTGGTACATGAGCCTTTTTTTTGTATGTAAACTAACAATTAATTTTAACCCACATCCACAACAGACAAGATAAAGTAAATATATAAACATTCAAAGGCTGGTGTACATTTAGTTTTTATTTAACATTTTCAATGGCCTCCCCACAAGGCAAGAGAGATTCATTGAGAATTTGAGGTAGGAATCAATATTTACAAGAGCAGAGGATCTAGAGAGCTCCGCTGCATCCGTGGAAAAGATGCTTTTTAAACCAATGTCAAATCTAAGGCAGTTTTCACGTATGTTAGGAGGCTGGATTACACAAAATCAAAATTCTGGCAGGAGCTGCTCTTTAACATCCTAATGCGGAGTCCCACTGAAGAGCAACAGTCATAAAATTGCATGGCCAAATCCAAAAAAAAAAAAGAAAAATAATGCTGGGTAAAGGCACATTGGAACTCAATAACAACTGTTAACCAGCATGGTGCACAGCACTAGAGTGGCAGTGTACTGGTGTCCAGCATGACAGTGGGTGCAAGGAACCACCTCTCCAGCATGGTATCCCGGGGGCCAAGCCCTTGGTCCTGGGGCAGCTGCGCTCCTCATGCTCCGGTGCTCCCTGCTCTGGGACAGATCCTGCAGGAAAATCAGGAGAAATTTCTGCCAGGGAAGGTGGGAGTCAGACACCGTCATGAGTCTCAAAGGGAAGATTTAGGGACAGACTGTTCACTTGAGAAAAGGCACGCATCAGGCAGTTCAACGGTTGGATATCCAGTCTCAAACGCTTCTGGCATTAACACCTATGGGTCAGTCTAGGCACAGCAACAGCTCACACAAGTAATACTGGGTACATTTACCTGTCCAAGATCCCTGCACCTCTCCACACCTCATGATGATGACGGCTTGTGGGATTTTCCTTCTCTTCCTCCTTGATCCATGGCCCCAGGGAACAGGCTGGCTTTGGCTACGGTCACATACAGCACCATCTCTGACTTGGCTGCCAAGTATGCTTTTACCTTTCCTGCTCAGAGTGGCTCGTCCTGCTGGGCAGAGTCTGCTTGGTTACACGCTGGCATTGCAGAGGCTGGAGCTGGCTTTTTTCCTCTGCTGAGGAGAAAACTGAGGGAGAAAGCAGCAGCAAGGATATGTAGGAAATTGTCTTTCTATTCAGCAGAGACCCACAAGAACTCCTGTGAAGCTGTACATTTCCCTGAGATGAGGGAAAGGACAGCAATAGCACTAGTCATGAGCAGTGGTTGGGAACAAACGAAAAAGACGTTTTACTTGTATTGTTTACCTGACGCTTTACTTGTAACAGCCACCCGGCTGTTTCCTTATTCTACAACTTGATATATCAAGGCTCTGGAGCAAGATGCCCCACATCACTCCAGGAAGCAAAGAATAGGCATGATCTTTATTTTGGAAGGGCATAGGGATTTCTCCCTGTCCATTTTGCAAAGATTTCTGCTCCTCCTGGGACACCCTGGCCACCCATCCTACAACACCATGCACAACTGCGGGTCGCAGGAATGACCACGTGCATTGGTCGGACAGCACTTGAGAGAAGAGGAGGGGAGTAGGAGGTGCTTTTTCCTTTTACAACCAGGACCGTGGGACTCTGGACACAACTGTGTCTAGGACGAATCACCCATACCCATCCCACCACCCAACACTGCAGCATCCAGCCCACCCCTGGGGTTTGCTGGCTGCTGACAAGGCAGGAAGGACAGCAAAACACAGGTGACTTCAGGAAGCTCTGAGGACAAAACCAATCCATGGGTTTGGGAGGGCATACACACCTTGTGTGTGACAGATTGTCAGGAGCTGGGCTGATGACGAGACACTGGCAGGCTGAGAGTGGTGTGTTGGGTTTGTGTGGTGGGGTTTTGTTAGCGGGGGAGTGGCTGCAGGGTGGCTTCTGTGAGAAGCTGCGAGAAGCTTCTCTGGCTCTGAGTCAGACCTGCCTCTGGCCAAGGCTGAGCCAGTCAGTGCCTCTGTGAATGACATAGTCAAGAAGGGAAAACAACCCTGCACCATGCAGGACCTGCAGTGGGTGGGATGGGGCAGCCACAGGCGGCTGTCTGTGCTGGGCTGCTGCCCCTCACCCGGCAGGGGCAACAGGGGCTGCGGTAGTGCAGCTCAGAGAGCTCTGAAGCTCCCAGGGTGCCTGCTGGGCAGAGCTCATCCCCAGAGCCAGGGCTGGCAGAGTTCATCGCACTGGTCTGGCCCAGTGTGGCTGTAGCAGTGAGAAGAGCAGAATGCAAGAGAAATAACTCTGCAGACACCAAGGCCGGTGAAGAAGGAGGGGAAGGAGGTGCTCCAGGCACCGGAGCAGAGATTCCCCTGCAGCCCGTGGTGAGATGGCAGGCTGGCCCCCTCCAGCCCATGGAGGTTAACAGTGGAGCAGTCCGCGAAGACCTGCAGGATCCCATGCTGGAGCAGGTGGCTGTGCCCAAAGAAGGCTGTGACTCTGTGGGAAGCCCGTGTTGGAGCAATCTGTTGATGAAGGACTGCACCCCATGGGAAGGACACATGCTGGATCAGTTCGTGAAGAACTGCAGCCCATAGGAACGACTGACATCAGAGAAGTTCATGGAGAACTGTCTCCCGTGGGAAGGGACCCCACGATGGAGCAGAGGAAGAGTGTGAGGAGTCCTCCTCCTGAGGAGGGAGGACCGGCAGAAACAACGTGTGACAAGCCGACTGCAACCCCTGTTCCTTGTACCCCCCTGTTCCTTGTACCCCTGTGCCGCTCAGGGAAGAGGAGGTAGAGAAGCTGGGAGCAAAGCTGAGCCCAGGAAGAAGGGAGGGGAGAGGGAAAGTGTTTTTTAAGATCTAGCTTTGTTTCTCATTTTCATCTCTCATGTGATTGGTAACGAATTAAATTGATTTTTTCCCCCAAGTTGAGTCTGTTTTGCCTATGACCATAATTGGTGAGAGATCTCTCCCTATCTCTGTCTTGACCCATGAGCCTTTTGTTACATTTTCTCCTCCCCCTCTCACTGGGGTAGAGGAGTAAGTAAGCGGCTGCATGGTGCTTAGTTGCAACTGGTCTAAACCACAACAAGCGGTCACAGCAGTCTCAATGAAGTTGCTTCTCAGTACAGATCTTAGGGCGTCCCATAGCTACCACCCTAAGACTCTGCCCTATCACCAAAGATGAAGACTACCTTGAATATCCGGACCACTGTATGCATCATGTATCGACTCGTCTGTAAATTAAAATGTTAATTTTAATGTACGTGGCAATACTCTGAAAGGAGGGTCATGTTAGTCAACTCTATTGCATCAATCAAAATGGGGTAGTGGACTGAGACTTCAGATCACATGCTTACCCAACAGCTGAGCTGATGTATTATTTGTAGCTTTATACATTTGTATTCAAGAACATCCCTCAGTAAAAAAAAATCAGGTCTAAAACCAGCTACAGTCTAATGGTAATCAAAAAACCAAGCCTTGCAACTGGGAACGCTGCAAACGTTTTAGAAAATCAGCCAATGCTTCTTTATTAATAAGTGACAGAAAGTAAAAAATACATTCAAAAATAGTTTCAAAATCAATTTCTAAAGCAGACACACCAAAAAAGAATCATGCTACTTCAAATGCTTTTTTCTTAAACCATTAAAAGAACATTAGGTAAGCTAATGCAACAGCTGGCTGCGCTACTGCTTCCACAGTATAATCCATAATGGTAAAAGCAGCTTTTTGAGGCATTTTAGTGCAATTTATGCTGTTTACAGGTCTTTTTTTGTGCATTCTCCTATAATTTAATGTCAATCGATGTCACTCTAGCTTGTAAAATTCCCACTAAGTCAAGACAACTCCACTTGGCAGTAACTTTGTTTCCTTTCAGGGCTAATATCAAAGAAGTTGTTTTGAATCCCAAAATGATAAATATCTAATAGAAGCCTGAAGCTATTCTAGTGCTATACAACTGGTGGTGTATAATTGAACATTAAGTAATCCAAGTAATAGAAGTTGTAGGTCAGCTGTCTCTCCTCCTTAGATAATTCCTTTAAGTATTGCCTCACTACTTCTGCATTTGTTCTCTCATCAGAGGAATGTCTGTCTTTGAATTTAGGAAACTTCAGCTTGGCTGGAGCACCTACCAGCTGCAAAAAGTAATTGGCATCTTCTTCCAGGGTTTCAAACTTTCCTATAAAATCATAGTTGATGAGGCAGGGATAGCAGAGCTTACTGACTTGCTCCCAATGAATGTCCATTCCTACTGGGCGATGGGAATCTAACAAATACTGAATAAACTCCTTGAACTTAACTCCCGATCCTGTTTTCAATGCCTCTTCATTTGCGTTAGGTCTATACTTCTTAATTATCGCCTTCCCAAATACTGGATGATAATAGCTGTTTGGATGTTCAAACTTATCCCTGAAGGCAGACACCAGTCTTTCCATAGGATCACGTACAAATATAGCCTTGGTGTACATGTTCAAGCGTGTGTATATCCCTTTTAGGTCATAACTGTCCAGTTTCCTTAGATGTTTTCCATAGTGCACATCGTCATGGGAAATGTTGTGTGCTGAAGAGGCAAGTCCATTGAGCACCATGAGGACCCTTTTCCAATTGGAGCAGCCTGCTTTCGGGACTTCGCAGTACAGGACCTTGTGCCTGTCCTCCACGTAAATTCTTGACACCAGGTGCACGAGGTGGGTTTGCAGCTTCTTTCTGCTGTTGTATTTCTTACAGAAGTCCTGCAGGAAGGACCTGCGCTTTTCCTGGGCACTGTCCACATCCTTCCACTTGCCACCGTTGACTAACATCTTGTTTAAAGGGTGCAGTGCACGAGGTAAATACATTCCTCTGAGCCGGCTGAGAGGTGACTCACTCATCTTCTGAGTGTCAGACAGTTGGCTCACCAAGGACGCAGCCACCACTCCAAAAGGGTCAGCCTTGCCCTGCCAGTGCCTGCCTCCTGAGATGTCCATCTCGTGCTTACTGAGGCCAGGAGCGCTCCGGCTCCACACTGCTCTCCTCGGCGTCCCCGGAGATGTGAGCGTGGAATCCTGCAAACATGGAAAGGAGCAGAGCTTACAATGCCGCGACAGCCCAGCGCAGCCCAGCCCATTCCCATTGCAACGATGGTGGTGCGTGCTCTCGACCAAGCCATGTTTAGTGCTACAAGTCTCTTCTGAACCACCTGATCAATACATCTAATTTAGCAGTAAGCTGAGCTAATTACTGAAATATATGCTTCTGAAGCTTACCTATTTGTGCACAGTAAGTCTTCCTACAAAAATAAATAGCTTAAGCCACACTTTTTAAGAAATCAGAAGAGGTTCACACAGGGAGGCTGATAGTCCTGGTAGGGGTGGCCAGGTGCTTTTCTCTGCTGAACACACTTTCCCCCATGACAGCACTGGTTGAGTTGCACAGCTGCTAAGAGCTCTCCGGAGCACACTGGCACAGTCATGGTAGCAGCTGCTGGATCTGCTTCCACCTCTGTAACTTGGAGCAGGCCTTGTCCCCCAGTGGTGGTATGGGATGAACCTGGGGTTCCTAAACAGCTGACATCAGTGGGTTTGAGCGGGGTGTAATGACAGAGGAAATCGTCCCTCAAAGAAGGTCCTATTCGTGTCCCCCTACAGATAGATCAAGGTAGCAGGCTGCACTGGACTGCATGCACATACAGGTGTTTGGAACACAGATGCCTGCACCTGAGCTGGCTGCTTTCACAGCTGATAAGGCAACATAGGTGCCTTTAGAGCCTATTCCATCTGTCTTATTTAAACATCAACATTAATGACATCAACTAACTAAACATCAACTAGTGACCCTGCAAAGAATGTGAAAAGATGAGACTTTCCTCCCAAACATCTCTCTTAATGTCCCCAGTCACTGTGCAATCCACAAGCTGCAGAAAAGGCAAATCTCGGATCTGTATTTTGCCATCAAATTCTTCAGTCTTGTATCACGCAAGTTGACTGAAGAGTTTTTTGCAGTTTGGGTATTTCTGCACTCTCACTTCTGAGTGGATTCTCATGTGTCTACTAAGGCTTGTAGATTTTTTTCTCCTATCAGTAGGCAAGCCTGCTGCATTGGAACATCTATACAGCTGCCTATTTTCATTACATTTCTGGAGAGAGGGGATGCTGGTCAACAGGTTTTTAAACATCCAGTTGCAAACACCAGATAGCCAAATGGTTATAGGCGGACACACATGCACAGACTGTTTGACTGCTTTCGTAAGTCTACCTTATGGAAACCTAAATAAAAAGACTCTTCTGCCATAAAGTGATTAAACATTTACTGGAAAGTTGATTTGTGGACTGGCAGACCAAAAGTGTGGATTTGGGGGGATGGGAAAGTTCATAGGCCGACTCAAATATGGCTGTTAAAAATTCAGAGGAATAATGTAAAAAATGGTAATGCATGGAACACATTTTGAATTCCAGTTTGAAATAAAGCCTACAGAAAAACAAGCAGCTCCAAGAAAAGTTAGCCTATCTTGCAGTGTAATAATTTCCAATGACAAAAACAAAACGTGGGCATCAGGCTATTCTGTATTGCTGCAAACCACTGATGATCCGGTCTTTGTTTTCACTGAACTGAGTAAAGTGTTTTCTGTATTGGTGAAAGCAAATAAAAGAATAGAGCCGTGCAGGACTTGTACATCTGTGAGAGAGGGAATGTTGGTGGTTTTAGAGATGCAAAAGGATATCTGAATTCTTTCAGTTCAACATGCTCAGGTTTTTCTAATATAATTTTTTTTTTATTTCTCTTGTCTAATACATAATTCTTTAAAACAAACAAAACACATGTGCCTAGAGATTTATCCCTTCTTCCCTAGGATGGAAAGAATTCAGGAGTATAGTTAGGGTGTAATGACAGAATGTTTACTAGTAGTAAGACAGAGGATGACTATGGGTCTAATGGGAATTTCAGCATCACAGTGAATGGTGACTTACAAGTGCTACTGCAGAACCAGAGACTTACAAATAAATTAAATCCTTTGACCTTAAAAGGAAAACCTGGAACTTAGAAAGGTGAAAATGAAAAATATAGGATACACAGAAATCAACCACACAGTATTAGGCTCAACAGAAGCAGGAATAAAGTTATAATACAATGCTAAAGTAACCAAAGATTGTAAACTCTTTGGTGCAGCTTTGTGGAATTTTATAATTTAGAAGACAGTTTCCAGTGATACATGACTGTCCTAGTGTTCCCCAATCCACAGAAAATTCAAGAGAAGGCAGCAGTACCTCATGACTTCCTATGGTATGTAATCTAAATTTGCAGTCTATTTCAGGAGATATTTCAGTGCAAAGACACTTTGAATTTCAATTGAATTTCAAACTAAAGCCACTAAAATGAGACCTACACTTTAGAGGAAAGTTCAGCCTTCTGAATTCATCCTGCCATCCTGAACTGGTGGAAGATGCTGCAGTTCCACCAGGCCAGGAGGGAAAAGGACAGACTGAAAGGTGTGTAGTCTTAATTTTATTCCATTTCAAACAGTCTGTCTGGGATTCAGGACCAACCTCAGGAGATAACTCAAGGAGATATGAGAAGAGGATTGCATTTCAGTCTCAGAAACTGTGAATGCAGCTGTAGGAACCACTATTGAAGGATTTTTCATGGGATTAAAGACTTCAGAGAAGGATGGGTAGAACTATTAAGAGAAATCTCAGGTAACACCCTAAAGGAACAACATATGCACAGTGGGAGTCACTTGAAAGGGGCTACCTCCAAGCGAGGTGAGGCAAAAGAAGAAAGAATCTATCAGGGAAAAAAAAAGCCCCAAAGAGAAGGGAAAAAAAAAAAAAGACCTAGGGGAAAAACAATGACATGGGAAGTTCTGAGGACAAAAAAAATATCTAAATATGTAAAATACTATTAGTTGCTTCCCTTCTCTGCTTCCCCTTCTCATTGAGATACATATCCCGTAGTGACTACAACAGTATTGGCTAATAAATGTTTTTATAAGCTCCACGAGGGATAGCGTGCTTGCAGTAAATGCTGGCTGTTACTTCCTTTATCTAAGAATGGGAATGGATAGTGATGATTTTCAAAGGCATAAATGGCTGTTACATTGCCATGGAAGTTTTCCAACTAAAAAAAAAAAAAAAGAGATCAAAACTTCCTATACACTTGCCTGAGTAACCAGGTTAATAGCTAGTAAAGGTGGGATGAACCAAGCTTTATTTTTGATGAGAAATATTTAATTGGAAACTTTTCTTGAGAAACTAACAGAAATTGTAGAGTAGATAGTGCCATATTTCTTAAACAAAACTACCTGACAGTGGCATATTATGTGCCTGAGAGCTGAAAGCCACACATTCTGAAAGGATTTTAATGTTTTATGACACTAGGCTCACACAAAGTGAGGTGCCTTCTTTGGCTTCCTCTTATGCCAGTGACTTTTCAGTGCCCATTTTATGACACTTTAAAGATCTGAACATCTTTTTTTTCAGCAGGAACAGGAAAGAAGAAGCTTGAAAAAGCGCTAAACATTTTTTAAAAACACCTTGTCTATTACATCTACATTTCTAACAGTCCACCCCACAAGCTGCTGAGCACCATTATTTTCTAAAATGTCTGACCATACACCAACAACAGCCATCATGCAGGTAATCTGATATCAGTCACTAACTCTGAATCTAGATCTTCTCATGCAAACAGTCTCTTACCAAACTCTTTGAGCCAAGTGTTCAAGTGCAGGCATGGCCATTCATGGATTTCCAAAGAGTTGCTAAGTTTGAGAACCAGCTGCCTGGCATGGGAGATGAACTCATTGGTCACCTTGGACAGATGCAAGGCTGTCCTTGAGACATGCTGACAACCTATGCAGCAGGTTGTGTACATTTCATCTGAGAATTAAAATCCAGTGAAGTGTTGCACCCTTGCCAGTAATTATGCAGAATGCTTTGTTCTCCATTTGCACTAATACATTTGAAAAAAGCTAAGAAATGGCCATGAGTCCAACTTAGAAGTGTATGCACACCGCTTCTGTCTCCCTTTTGCTAGGCAGGAACTGAAGACAGATTTAAAAATTAGTTTAAATAGAAGGAAAAAAGGGAATTTAACAAAGTGTTAGTGTGATGTTTGGCTACTGACAGGCAACTCGGTGAAGCTGCTGAAACAAAAGGCAATTTTGAGTCATTAATGGGTTCTGAATTTTTTTTTTTTGTCATTTTTATTACTGGAGATTTCCTGCTCCTGTCCAACCACAAAAGGATTTCTCCTCACTATAAAAATAAGTAGCCAGTACCTTCTGTTACACACATTGAAGCTGTCCTTTCCTTTAATAGCTTCAGAAGCCACTGGGGTAGAAGAGATTGACTACTGCCAAGGATGGTTAAGACTCATCCAATTATGCTTTGTGGTGGTTTTACAATGTATGGGTGGGATCTCATCTAGACATCTGCAATTAGAGCAACCCGCCATGCAAAAAGAGAATGATGTATTGGAAAGGATGATATTCCAAGACTGATTTGCAAAGATTTAATGGCCTGCAGTGCAGACAGTGCTGTGTTTCCTAAATGCTTTAGTGCCGGATCTTCATTTTTACTAACAAGAATATTAAAATTAAGTGAGCCCAACAGAAAATGTAGGACAAAGAATAGTGGAGGAAAGAAATATTCTATCATGCTTTCCTGTGCTGCCACATAACTACATTGTAAGTGTTAGTAACATATGGTTTGGTTCTCAACGTCTAGCTAATATCTCTTCTGTCCTAAAACACGCTTCCTGAAATAATCTTCTAAGACGTTTCTTAGAAGAAACTGCATGAATCACCTGGGAGCCTACTGTGTTCCACTGGCTTGCACTTGACTGTTGCAGGTCTGAGTGTCCTGAGGAGAACCCTCTCAACACTACTATACTAACCAGCTAAAATGGGTGCTCTGCAAACACATGGATATTCAAAGACGATAAAACTTCATTCTTTAAGAGAAGAAGAGGTTGAAATATTTTTTTGCAGATGAAACTTATGAAGAACAATTATTTAGGAGGACAGAGCATTTGTGTTCTCTGATCAACCCAGGCAGGGATTCTGCAGTACATACTCACAGAAACTTACGAGAAGAAGCAAAGGTCCCCCAGTGACAAAACAACAGGATTTTGAAATACATGCTTGGAGCAGACTGTATCTTCACTTATATCCCAGTCCTTTGGTACTAGACATGTTTGGCAGTGCCAAAGTTCAGCATGAACTGAGAGCACTAGATATTTTATTTTACTGCATGAATGCATTTCTTTAAGTTGTTTCCTGTGTGACTATTGTATTATAATGACCATACAATGTCAAGACTTTACTTGTTTATGTAGGATCTCTCTGTAGAAAACAGAGAGAGGCTCTTCTGAGACAAAGTTCATTTTCTGATTCATACTCTGATTCTATATTAATCAGAGAGCACATGGAGATCAATCTTTTAATTTAGGTATTTAGATGAAGGCAGCTTGAATACTAGAGGGCTATAAAACAAACGATCTCTTACTTGGACTGTAGGTATGTGTGAGTCTTTGAAAAAGCTAATACATAGTTTCAGTCTAAACCTGATTTACTTAAAATATCAAATTTTTCACATAGTTGGGCACAGTTAGAAGGATTTCTTCAGCAGAGGTCCATGACTCTGGCAGATGGCTCAGAATTGGTATGTAGTTGAAATATGAGGAAAGTTTGCATGACTCCTATGTTCAGCAAGTCAGTGAAGCCTGGAGCTATTACTACCTCACTTTAGCTGTAAAAGCATGTAGAACTATACGTACACATGTATGTCAAAGTTTTCTTAAGTCCGACAAAGGAAGGATTATCAACTTTTTTGTGCTAGAAGACCACTTGCAAAGCAGAATTCAGAATGGCCAGACTCCTCTACCACTATACTACCTGAGCTAACATGTAAATATGCTCACAACTTTCTCATATCATAGCAGCTGTGTAGTGTAACGTTGGCGAGCTAAACAAATCCCTACAGGAGCTCCCAATGAAGAGACTATCCAGGCTGGCCACAAGTGACAAGGAAATATTTGCTGATGAGGTGCTTCACCTTCTGTGCAGTGGAGATAAACCTCTTGATTCATCACTAGTGCTTAAAACAGCTACTCCAGAGATTGGCACCACTAACCCCTCACCTCCCAGAGGAGACATAAATATTTGGCTTATCTAATTTATTCAGGGCAAATCACCACTGCTACATTCCTCACAAGACAGAGTTGACATGTATTCCTTGTGAACACTCCAAGTTTAGTGGAGGTACTTCTATCAGAGATACCTTGTGGTTCATCATAAACAATTCCTTTATGGAAGACGAAGAATGAAACAACTGTGCTTTGAACTTTCATAGTTCTTTCTCAAAAAAAAATCCCAAATAGTAGCAAGCTTATCTTTCCTCTGGAATAAGATCTAGCAATATTTTGTATGTGGAGCCATCAGCCCTGAAAGGCAAAACCTTACTATATCAGACACCACATTTTCCTATGAGATATGTATCCTGAAAATACATGTTCTTGTACCAAGCATCTCTAAGATGACTAAATGAGTTGGAGGGAAAAAAATGAGTATACAAGGTGCTCAGACCTTTCTGCAGAGACTAACTTTATAGTTTGCAGCTGAAATACAATTAGGTTCAAGGGAGGTACTTGTGAACACAGAGTCAGACACAAATGAGAATAACTGATCCTAGTAAGAAAAAAAACACCCCACACACTGCAGGTAAATTTTAATTAACAGATACCAGTCATTTTATATACTGCTTTTCAAAACACGGCTTTGTGAATCAGTGACTATTGCCCCTTGAATCTGTTAGCAGAAAGTTTGATATCTCACTGCAGAGTGAGTTGGAGTTATGGGAAGAGCACAAACAAAGCAAGCGAAGAATAAAAGGGCACAGGGAAAGATTATTTTTTTTAATGCAGTGTGGCCGAGTGTCAGGGAATGAGCTAATGTGGAAAAATTTGAAAGGAAAGCATTGATCCAGAGCCGGTTTTGGAGGAGAACAACCCAGACCCAAAGGCAATGTGGAAAGTGGAGAGGCCCAACAGAGTGAGATAAACAGTAACATTATTAGGATTGTATTAGTAGTCCTGTCCCCATTTAATAAGGGGACAGGATGAACTCGTTTGTGCTCGCCTGAGACCCTCACAGATACATAACTCCTGGCTTTGCACAGGGCTCTGCTTCTCTCCCTGCCCCCTGCCTTCATCTACAGAAAGCATGAAGTCGCCCATGCTAATGAGGCAAGACAGCCTGCATGAGCCACTTCCACAAGTTGATTCATACGGTCAGCAACTTGGATGAAGGAAATTAATCTCCAATTCTACTTGCCAATTCTTGTTCAAATCTGGAATTAACTCCCTCCTGTTTCCACCCTCGCAGTCAAAACATTTGGCTTCTCTGAAACATGCTCAGAATGGGAAGGATAAGAAAGATCAAGGCACAGTTAATAGAAAAGGTACCAATAAAGATGCTATCATTATCAGAAACTAAGTAATATGTAACTTTGTGTGACATTAAACATTCACCAAGACAACCGCGACCAAGTATTGAAAACAAAATCAAGCATCTCACCCCCTTATTACTAATAAAGAATTCATTGTCAAGGTTGGTCAATGGTAATGATAAATTGGCTTCTGGATAGTGCAATACTGATGCTGCTTCTCTAGCTTTCTGGCAACAGTTTCATGGGGCTGGTTCTTTGCAGTATAACTCACAGACTTGTAAATAAGCATAGAGCCATTGCAGCCCAGACAGACAAGTTCGTGTTTGGACAGAGCCTGCATCCAGGTTGCACTGACTGCTTGTCTCTAGAAGTGTGGCTAAGACGCACTGTTAATGAAAGGTAACTTTCAGACCATGGACCATTTAACGCTTGGCCATATTTAGCTCAACCTCCTTCCTATGCAGGTGCACTTGTTTTGGGTACAGGCAAACTAGTATGTTCAAACAGCATTTAATTCTGATTAAATTAAATTAAATACACGGAGCTCAATCCTCCTCCTCTGTGTATACTCTGTTAATAAAAACTAAGTGGACAGAAATCTTCACCAGCACTCACTCTTATTTCTGTACAGAACAATGTCATAACAAAGCAGCTTAAACAACCTGAAATTCAAAATGGACTCAAACTAAGCACACAATACTTATTTTGTGAAGAATAATATTAGAAAAAAAAAACTCTTGAGTTCCACTGACTGGTAGGTTTACTATACGTATACAGGGACTTCAAATCCGAAGACGACACTTTCAGGTAATCTCCATATATTATATATTGGTCTCTTATTTGAGTTCATCAAATAATGTTAATATGCCTACTTTTTTATAACTTAAAGCACAGAAGCAAGTCAGATAACCTAAACAGTTCCCTCTCTTGACAAATGCAATTCTCGAAATCGTTACTTCCAAGTACATGGTAACATACACAATCATTTTATGAAGAAGAAAATACATAATGCCTCCTGCATGTTCACAACTCAAGCCAGGCAGGGATTTTTGAGCACATTTCATAATTTAAAAAATATCTGTTTTCCTCCCTAAAGACAAGGGCTCATGTCCGAGGCTAAATGCCAGCATCTTTTTATCCAGAGGTATTTGGGACCATGTCGTGGCACTAGCTGATCAACACCCACCCTGCACAGGGTAGATGTGATCCCCATTGTCCCGTCTGCATGAGTAGACATATTTCCTGGGAGGGTGATCTAACTGCTGGGCATTAATCCTGGCAGTTAACTAACCCTGCAAGCTGAGACTGAAACCCTGGCTCTCCTCTTGCAGGGAGTGCTGTAACCACCAGACATCAGATGAGCCTCTCTCTCTAGTTTACTTTTATATACAGGAGGGATATAACACAGCTCTTATGGGCAGCAGAAGTTGTAGACCTGAATCTTCTTGGGTGCAGAAAGAATATGAACCTGGACTTTCTCCTCTCAGGGAATCACTGACTTAGTTTTCACAGACATCCCAGCACGGTATCAAGAAGACCACACAGCATACCTGTATTTCACATGGTCCCATCCGGCAAGCATGAGCTTTCCCGGCGAAATGGCCATTTCTGTGTTTCCACCACACTGAGATAAGAAGTTCCCAAATTGGATCAGTCCTGCCAACACTAGGGCACACCTGTACCCACAGAGGAACAAGCCTACAAGGCTCAGCTGCCTCCGCTGTGAGGGGATGAATGAGCAGAGGCTGTTGCAGGTCTGGACTTGAGTTGAATTCAGGCACTTCAGTCTCCTTCCAAACCTGCCCCCTCTGAACTACAATGAAGATATAGCTACTAAAATAGTCACTTAGATGTTGGTTCTGAGTAGCCGAATGTGGAGCTTGGATGCCCATTAAGATATGTGGACTGAAACCAGGATAAAGAGCATATGTTATACAGAGAAACAATGTGATTCCAAGCCCCAAAGGCTTCAAGTCGAGTACCA